CCACCATCATCACCACCGAAGCGCTCGCCATCATCAACATGGCTCAAGAGCTTCCTCCTCTGCCGGCCTTGCGCCGATCTACTCGCCGGACCGCCACGCGCAGCGTGACTCCACCTGCCACGGTCCAGGCAGCAGCACGCGGTGGCTCGCAGCCTCTTGACGGGGTCGAGTTGGCTAGCCAGCCCATCGATCTTGGTCCTTGTGGCCTTGTGCGCCGCGTCCAGGGTGGTTCTCCTGCCGCCATGGCTCGCGCCATCGAGCTGCTCCCCTCAGCCGAGGTGGATGCAGCTATCCCTCCTGCGGCACTGACCCCCGCAGTTTGGCCTCGCTCTCCTGAGGTCGAGAGCGCTATCACCGAGCGCTTGCAGGATGGCCATCGCCACCAGACTCCTCAGGAGCACCTGGTCCAGCCTGCTGTTGGCGAGCAGCCTTCTACACCTTTGGCAGTGCTGGCTACCACGGCCTTGGAGAGCAACGCGCTCTTCCAGGGCATTCTTCAAGAACAGGCCCGTCGGTACGGTACGCCTGCGTCAAGTGTGGGCCCACCTCGCTCGCCAGTGTACAAGCCGGCTTCACCACCACCGCCTGGGCTCTCCCCGCGGGGTGGCAGCTCCATGTTCCTGGGCTCGTCGCCGCTCTCATCCCCGGCGCCCTCGCCCACCCCGTCCGAGCTCGAAAGGCGGGCCAATGCCCCAAGCCCGGATTGGACGCCAAAGTCTCCTCCTCTCTGGGAGACTCCGCCTCCTGAAGGGCGGCTGGTGGAGGTGGTGCTGCCTGGCAGGCCCATGGGTGAGATTGTCGCCCATCCTGCCGAGCCCACAGAGGCAGAGCTGGTGGCTCGGGTTGGTGGTCCGCCAACTCCTCCTCATCCTGGGGGTCCAAGGGGCACCACGCCTGATCTCGGCGGATGGGATATGGTGTCGGAGCGAGGTGGGTCTTGTTGGAACATACGGTCCTTCGATTTTGTCGATTACAATTTAATCCCGATTGCGGGATGTCAATGCCTATTTCGATTGCCCACTACCGCGCAGACAGTGGCACTAGCCCTAGGCCGTGGCGCGGTGGCGGCGCGCAATGGGCATTGACGTCGCCCATTTCCCTGCCAAAGGGCGGACCCCTCCATTTGCACGTTGGTCCAATGGGCACGCCATTTTACACTGCTCCAGTGCAGCAACGTCAAACGCCAGATTTTGGCAGGAGCAACGGGCAATGGGCAACGGATGCGTCAAAATTGCCAGGAAATTGGCTGGGCAACGGTCAAATGTGGAGGACTGGTCCAGTGCCCAACGTACAAATCCAACTTGCACACTGGCGCCGTGCCCAACGTGCAGATCTGGCACGTTTGTCTGTTGGTCGGTTGCCTGTCCATCGGACCACCATTTTCTCAGTCTGTCAGACCGTCAGTCAGGCGCCATTTTCCCAGTCTGTCAGACCGTCAACGCGTCAACTTCTGAGTCTGTCAGACCGCAAGCACGTCAGTTGGCCAGCGCGTCAATGCTCAGCGTGTACAGTTACCGCCAGGTGCACGTGAGTGGTTCCCTCTGTCAGGCGCCGCCGCCGCCGCCCGGTACTGAGTCCCTTTGTTCACCACCTCACGATGGATCCGCCAACACCATCTCCCTTTGTCTCTGAACACGGAGCAGCATATCCGGCCAATCCAGCCTATCAGGGCACGTCCCACTGATATCCCCTTTGTTCCTGTGCTTTCCCTTTGTGTTGAGTCAAGTGCGATGAAGACGTCAACAAAATTTTTCACTTTGCTCCGTCAAGTACGCAGCAAGCAAGCAATGCGGTATGCAACAGCCTATGCCCAGAGTACGGCAGACTGCAAGTTTGCAAGCTGCACACAGCTGGCTAGACGGACCTCTGCATTATAAAGACGTGCTGGCTGAGGTACCAACAGACGTCTTGAAACCATCAGCTGCTTCACGCTCTCCGTTCCATTCACTACTGGATACTTTGTTCTACGCCGCAAGCTGCCTTCTTCAACAATGATTCCGCAGTCACCTCCCTCTGTCCGCACTGACAGTGCTGACAACGCTGACACTGTTGTCAATGCAGCAGTTGAAGGCAGGACGGTTGCAACGTCCCCTGCTGAAATGTAAGTTCACCCGTCCTCACGCGTCATCAGCCTTACAGTACTTTTCAACTCACACATCTGCATTATTCTATACAGCCCGCTGCTTCCTGCTGCCAACCAACTGGCCACCAATGCTGCTGGTGATGCTGCCGCTCA